CGGCTGTATTGCAACTTTACTGTGGCAAAATGCCTTAGGCTAAAGACATCTCACTGCAGGGCTTAGGGCACGCGTGCATATGATTTTGCTCAATATAAGTTAGAACAGTTCTAGATTCGAAGCTTTCGTGACTGCAAGGATTCATATACTTAGATTTTTTTCGGTAAAGTCACGTAGGTAAAAAATTAAAATTAATAAAAGTAAAATAAAAATAAAATAAAAATCACGACTTGTGTTGCCTCCAAAAAGTCGTGAGTATTATTTTATTTTACTTTTATTAATTTTAATATGAATAAGTTAGAACAGGTCGGATTTTTTTTTTTTGTTTTCAAAGTGGTGGATCTTTCGGAGCATTTGTCAAGGCGTCATGTGAGCAGAGGATATGGGTCTGCCGGCTGAGCCAAAATATCTGAGAGAGGCATCTCGAATGAGGCAAAAACGGTCTGGGAGGAGCCTTGGTCTCTAAATGTTCCTATTGTGGCAGTTGCCAAGACAGTCATGTGAACGGCCTAGCGGCAATCCGAACCCTCAGGAGATTCTCATAACGATTATAATTCTATCTGTGCCCTGAGCACTGCAACTTTGTACTCTCTCCATTAGACACAGCCGCGTTTTTTTTGTTGTTGTTGCATTTTTAATACAATGTCCTATCTGTTGAAACGATGAAAAAATGTTTCCATGGAAGGAAGATTAAGTCATTGCATGACTGTGGAAAATATCTGAGAGTTCATCAAGATATTTATATTTAAGCTCATCCTCTTGTATGCATTTGAATTATGATCACGTGCGATTTTTCATTCATTTACTTTTTGTGTGTGCGGTGAAAATAGCCACAATTGAAAGCCCAATTAGTACAAAGTTGTATTTTAGATTTACAGTTGTACTTTTCACAATGAGAGCCACGCTTTTAATTATATATATTACATATATTAATAACTACAGGTGAGCCATTGTGCAAATATGACAAATTTGAAGGGTTGGTGCCAGGATGCCTACTGATGGGTTACTATTTCGTCATGGCAGAAAGACCTCAAGCCGATACAACATTGATCCACTACCCCCTCTGCTGGTACGAACATGCTCCTTGAGTTTTATACCAGTACAGCTGCAATGCAGGTGTCTCAGGATAGTGGCTCAGGTTACATGTGTCCCGTTTGGCACTCTATATACACATGTGTGTTGAACTTATTTCATTTTTGGACAACAAACTCATCACAAAAAGCGGTTCAAACGAAATTCGTTTGATGGGGCCAACTCCCCATTAACCACTGCCATTAGGTCCCATATTTCATTATCCCCATCATCATCAGCAGCAGCAGTGGAAGCAGGCATGCTCAATCTACTGCTGGGTAAAGGCCTTTCGAAGCCACCACCACCTCTCATCATTGCGCGATGCAACAATCCACCCATCAGCTAATGAAGAGTTTTATCTACATCTACAACAGACGCCATCTTGGGCCCTTCTTTTGTGGATGCCACTCAGTAGTCAATGGCGAATGGGAGCAGCCGGTTGAAATTGGTTCATGGGAGAAACTGAAATGTATCCGCTTGAAAGCAAAAGAGCGGTGTCCAAGGTGTTGCTTTCTAGAGACGCTTAGCAACGCCAAGATTCCGAACAACCGCACGTGCAAATTAAACATACTCAATGAGGATGGTTGCCTTGCTTGTGATCACGTGGCACATCATATGTAAAGAAGTGTGGCACATTAGGAATGGATCACTCTTTTAAGTGTGTCCTTGTGCAGCAAGGGAGTAAAGTGTGGTTCTGTGAAAGTCCTGATGTGCTGTGCAATGCATCAATGCATGTGTGTACAGCAGCATGTAATGTCTGAGTCGGGCCTGTAGGTGGCTGGCAGGGTTCATGAATAACCGCACGTGTAAACCAGCCACGTGGTTAATGGCGTCTCGGAAAGATGGCTGCGTGTAACACACGCTGTTGCATTTTACAGGTAAAGGACCCAAAGGTTGTTTTTGATCGTTATATAAATGTTCTAGATTTGTTCTAGACTTGTTTTAGACTTTAAGCTTGGCTTTGAATTGTTCGTTTGTGATATATGCAATTAGAGGCGTTTTAGCATTGTAAAGGGATGACGCACTGTAATTAGTTACTGTCATTGTCATTCTCTAACTCTAATACTGTTTAGTCTATAACCATGCCCATGTATCCAGAGTATGACGACTTGCAATGCTATTGAGACTAGAACACATGTGAAGTAGTAAGCTGTACAATGGTGATATACAATACGTATACTGTACACATACATTACATATAATGGGTGTAAGATACCGATAGAAGTGGATGGTATAGATAGACATACAGCTTAGGATTAAAGTAATATTCGAATAGTGATGTGCAAATGTGATTGTCAAAGACAAAGATGGTTTATCAGCAGTAGAATTGGGTTTAAGAGAAAGGGTTAATGAATAACCGCACGTGTAAACCAGCCACATGGTTAATGGCGTCTCAGAAGATTTGCTGCGTGTAACACGCGCTGTTGCATTTTACAGAGTGACGGTGCTGTTCCCAAGATTCATATGAACCACAATAAATAAATGTGCTTGCCCTCGATTTGGAGCACCTGCTCACGTCCTTCATTTCGAGTGTGCAACAGAAGCATAATCACTGGAATTAATTTTAATGCTTAACTTCGTAAAACAAACATTATGGCTGGATATACTATACAATAAAGCTAATATTATACATATACTGTCTAGTAGTACAGTGCGTCACATTGCAAACCCTTTTGTTTCTGCTTCTTCCCTCACACCCTTCAGCTTTGGAATGTCCTGCCCTTGTCTATTTTCTTTCCCCCAAGCCCCATTTAACCTCGCTCAAATTCAAGAGACGGGTCAACTCTTGCTGGCTAACTAACCCTCCTGTTGGTGAGGCAGACGCTCACTGGACATGTTTGAACCATTGCAACCTTGTGCTCAGCTACTGTGTAACAAAAATAAAGACATGAATGTTAAAATTAAGGTTCTGGTTAGTAAACTTTCTCTTGTCACGATGTAGTTTGAAAAGTTTTCCATGGCTGTACCGGGGGAATTTCCATCTGGTACAGATACAATGGGAGGCTGATCGATACCCGGGTGCAGTCGACGGATGGATCCCTATTGGTCAACCATGTTATGTATGCTGATGATCTGGTAATTGCTGCTAACTCACTGGAGGAGTTGGAGGGACAGCTGCTAAATCTGGAGCGTGTCACGAAGAGGTGGTGTCTTACCATAAGCCACACAAACTAAGCACCTACATGGGTATTTTATGACATCAACCACTCCATCCCTTAATTACACATTAATATGGTGGCAGTTTTGGAGAGAGTTGAGCATGTTCCATATATGGGCAGTGTGCTTATGACTAGCTCCAATTTGACAGCAGAGGTCTCACTCGAATCGGTGGCATTATCGTTTCATTGGCTGCGTAATGCTATTTAAAAGTGACCTTGTTTTTTTTGCTCCACACGAAGCTTGAGGTCTTCTCGGCCACACTCATGCCCTCCTTTCTCTATGCGTGTGAAACGTGGACCCCCTGATGGAACATCTGCACCTGTTAGAAATATTCAGGGTGGCCTGTCTACGATCCATCATTTGTTTAACCAGGCTGGATTGTTTGAGGAGCTGACAAATTCTTGAAAGAGCTGGGCACATTCTCATCAGTGACCTCCTCTGGCAGGCAAGGCTGCATTGGCTTGGTTATATAGCTCGCATGCCAAGCCACTGCATGCCCAAGCAGCTTCTATTTGGCCGTATAGAGGGGGCTAAATGGATACGACACGGGCTGGAGTAGAGATGGACTGATGCGGTAGGGGAAAATATAGAGCTGAGTGGACTTGCCACAAACTGATGCCAGAGGTGTTAAGACCGCTGGCTCGTGAAGGATGCTACGAGTCAGTTGGAGGCAGTTGTCCTCCAACAACAATGGAGGGCAGATGAGCGATGCTCACAACAATGAGCGGAGTGCCAGGTGGCTAAAATACAGAAAATTGTCACAGCAGGGGGCACAGCTGGTGCATCTGCCAGCCATCTCACTCAATCAACCCATAGCAGTCAGCGAGCCTTCAAAACTTCACGTGGCCTCTAAGTGCACCTGGCCTGGCATAGTCGCCGTGGAGACGTCACCGCCATATCGTGGCGAATGGCGGGTGTTGTTCAATTGAGAAACATGCAGGTAATTTTTCAAATTTGGCAAATCTGTATAATGAGGCCAGCAGACAATGGCCTATTGTCGTGAATTACGTCACGGGATCTTTAACGACCACTTTCCACTTTTAAATTGAGATTGAAAACTCATTTCTTTAGAACTGCTTTTTTGTCTTTTTTTTCTTGTTCTTCCCCCGTACCTCCGATTAGCAGGGTTGGCTACGTACGGTGCGAAAGAAATTTACCATACGTTCATACATACAGACATTGTGTGTACTTTGTGCGTGAATATACACCACAGTAATATCCAAGGCAGCTGTCCGATTCGGAAGCATGACCCATACCACCGCCAACGTTGCTCGTGAATAAGTTGAATGTGTCTCGCTTCCCCAGACTTCTGAGATGCATCACAATATCTCATCTCAGGATCGCGAACGATGGCAGCAGCTTGGGGAGGCCTTCATCCAGCAGTTGATTGGCCCCGGTTGACATTGATGATCATAAGCATCGTCTACAATCTTCCATTATTTTGGGAACGTTACGTGTGGAGAAAACACAAATTCTTCCCAATAGACGAAATGTAATTACCCTTCACTTAACATTCATTGAGGTTAATTTGCTTATTTATTTATTTATACGTATCCATCTTAAACAACTCCCAGTATATATACCCAAAATATTCACAAGCCCCTCATTGTGTTAGAAATAAAAGCGTGAAACTAAATAAATCAATTTGCGTGCAAAACAATTCATTGGCCACCCTTTTTTTCCATGATAGGACATGGTATAAAGCTTAGCTTTGGGATTTGCCTGAGCAGTTCATTTCGGGCTCTACTTTCAGTGAACGGCAGACCGCATGCAAGGCACCATTCATGAGAGTGCATTTAGGAGTAAGTAAAACGTTTACTGTTTTATTTTATGTATGTATGTTGAACTTCTTTCGCACCGTACGTAGCCAACTGCGATAATCGGAGGCGCAGGGGGAAGGACAACAAAACTAAACACAAGAAGCAGTTCTCAAGGAATTCGTTTTCAATCTAGATTGAAAAAGTTAAACTTTTTCAAAAATTGGCACAGTTGTAAAAAATAAAGATGTTCATAATTTGCATGCCTTCATTCACTTGTGTGTATGTGTAAGATAATTATCTGACGTTACGTTGCGTTAAACTGTTTTTAGTGGTTGTTAAAGTGCTGAATTTTGCAATAACTTTTTAAAGAAGTCGCACGGTTGTAAAAAAAAATATATATGATTGTAATGTCTTCATTCACTTGTATGTTTAATATAATTGTCGTGTGTTCCGTTGTGTTTAACTGTTTTTGGCGGTTGTTAAGCAATGTTTGACATGTTTGAAGTGAGTTTGAACTGTTTCTTTGGGCCTTGGAAACACATTCATATTCTACCTATGTTACTCATGCGAGGTTCAGCCCTTTAATGACTTTCTTATGCCACTGCTGGCAGAAAGGGCCTCCACTACGGGGAGCTACAAGTGAGTCAGTCCCTCTATCGAATGTTTCCATAATATATGGAATATGTTTGCCTACTTTTCCATTCCGGCCAGACTTTGTTCTACAAAGTGGGAACACTTTAGTTTTCTGTTTTCCCCATCACTCGCCGGATCTGCGGCTCGACTCATTTGTGGAGAACCCATCTGTACTGCTTGGTGGTCAGAGGCCGTGAGGGGGTGCTGGGGAGATATAAGCAACTTGCCAGTTATTTTAATTGTCGCCCTGGAATATCAAACGGGCAACCCCTCGGGATTGCAAGTCCACGGTGCGTTAACCATTGACACCACGGCGGCGTCCCGTTTAGCTCGGCCGTAATAAACACAATTATTTATCAGACTCGTTGGGATCGTTCTCCGAACGTGCACTAATATATGCAAATGTATTGATGTGTCCAAGTAGAGAAACTGAAAAAGAAAATATGCGATTGAAGGATAGAAGACGAATATTGGATGTACCGTATTTATGCATCCGGATATTGTAGCTAGTGTTCTTGATGGCTTTCTCAACACCCTGTCCACCAACAAACCATTGTGTTAGGTGAATTGACGTAAAACTAACCACTTTTTTCTGTAGAGTAACGTTTAACGCACTAAGATATGCGAATAACATGACTAATATTATCACGTATTTTTTTTTGCGCTTGTGTTATATAGCGATGCAATGGGTTTTCTGGTCGGAGCGCGTGTTGTTCGGCACGATGTCCGATGTTTCGCTCAACATGCTGAGCAATATATTGGGGCGCCATGGTGGCGAGATGTTAACTACCTCCCCTGGTATACAAGGGTCGTGGGTTCGATGCCGACCCTGATGCCTCAAAATGTGCAGTTTGCATGTCTCTCTCCCCGTTGTGGCATGTATTTTTTTTCTTCCGGATCCTTCGTTTTTTTTTTCCCGTTCACATTTAGAATCACCATCACGCATTTAGAGTATGTGGCTGCTATAAATGTGGCCTAGGTCGCTTCTGAAATAAGAGCTGTGTAGCTAAGTGGAGCCTTACCGGGTAAAGTAAAAACTATTTTTAGTTTGGTTTTAATTCAGCTCCTGAAGAAGCTCCCCAGCACGTGGAACGAAACTCCAGACTTGGAGTGGAACAATACGCGGCGCAAGAAAAACAAACTTGGGCCCGAGATCAGTGATTTTACGTACTCTTAGGTTTTTTTTTCGGTAAAGTCACGTAGGTTAAAAAATAATAATAAAATGATAATAAATGAAAAGCAAGAACCAAGAAAATGAAAAGCAATCAATTAAATCAGTGTTTTAATTGATTTATTTTCATTTATTATTATTATTACCTACTTGACTTTACCGAAAAAATATAAGAGTATGAATCCTTGAAGTCACGAAAGCTTCAAATCTAGAATTAATAATCAGACAAATTGCCATTTTGTCCCGAAATTGTCACCTTCAAATGTGGCCATTTGTGATACGAGCATAATAAAATAATAAATCACGACGTTTCCCCCCTCCCCCACTTAACTTGTAGTTAAGAGCTTGTCTCTTGGATTTTTCCTCACTTAATACAGTAAATTCAGCTGTGATGGTCCCACCTGATGACACAGACTTGTGTTGCCTCCGAAACGTCGTGATTTATTATTTTATTTCTATTATTATTTCTACTATTTTTTATTTATTTTATTTTTTACCTACGTGCCTTTACCAAAAAAACCTAAGCGTATGAATCCTTGCAGTCACGAAAGCTTCAAATCTAGAATGATCTTACGTGATCGCGAGAAATGAAGTAACGTGAGTGCTGCATTGCTAGGAATGATTTGTATGACTCTCGTGAGCAGTGAAAATATCAGTTCGTGTGCAGGAGTGATCCGGATTGTGCTATCCCAGGACCGTGAGAGATAGCAATGGCTTGGGGAGGCCTTCATCTAGCAGAGGATAGATCATGGCAGAGGTGGGACAAAGTCATTGTTATGCAAGTCCAAGTCGAGTCTGAAGTCATCAAATTCATGACTCGAGTCTGACTCGAGTCCAAGTCACATGACTCGAGTCCACACCTCAGAGGTGGGACAAAGTCATTGTTATGCAAGTCCAAGTCGAGTCTGAAGTCATCAAATTCATGACTCGAGTCTTACTCGAGTCCAAGTCACATGACTCGAGTCCACACCTCTGGATCATGGCCCATGATGTAAAATAAACTTTTGTTGAAACAATCTTTACCGTCCTCCTGAACGTTACATTAAAAAAATGCTACAATTGTTCAATGTTTCAGTATTATGTACAATATGAGTATTAATGTGTCTGTGCATGAATGCTGTGCAATAGTTTGATAATCTTGGTCTTAGTATTAATGGTCTTAGTATTATGCATCGTCCGTGCAATCTTGTTATTGTGTATTTGTGACGTCCTTTAACAGTGACAATGCTTCTTTTGTTGTTGTTGCCACAGATGGATGATGTCATTGACGACATTATCAGCTTAGAGACAAGCATGAAGGATGACATGGGCAATGGTTACATGGAAACGCCAAGTGTCCAGATCCCCAACTCTGTAAGTGCTGCGCATCTTGGATTATACACCCATGCTGTGGCGGTCACAGGGACAGGGAGACATTAATGGGGTCCCCTGGGCTAAACATTTTAAACTGCGCTGAGACGCTTACATACGGACGTTTTATTTTTTGGACTTTTTTCGCACCGTACGTTGCCAACCGTGCTAATCGGAGGTGCGGGGGAAGGAAAACGAACTCAACACGAAACACCAGCTCTACAGAAATGAGTTTTCATTTCAGATTTAAAAAGTGCATAGCTCCAGTGGCTTCCTAATATCGGAAAGAAGAGCGTTCCAGACGGCCGCGGAAGTGCATCTGAAAGCGCGCTCGATGCAGCGGCCGTCTTCGTAATCATGGGCACAGTATGAATGTGCTCGCGATTATACCATGACAGCATCCAATTATATTCGTTTGGTGTAATTATACTTTTGAGACATCTTTTTTACGTGTTATGATGGATGAAACTGGCAACCTGAGATCGATACACAGTCTCCGGCCATAATAAGTAGCATTATCTGAACTGGTCCTGCACCCCTCCGCCACCAACCCGCGCGGTGAAGTATGGTCAAACAACCCCAATGAACAACGTGGCGGAAGAGGGGGGGGGGGCCTTCGTCTAATGTCGGATCGGCAAAAAGACTGCAAAGTATAAAGCGCTTAAGTGATATACAAACACTTCAGTCAAGTGCATGTTTCTGGCATATTCTATTCATCATTGCACCTTGATGAGGCCATAGACCTGCAATTCATGTTTTACAACATCGCTTATTATATCAATTTGTGAGACAGCCAACACAGCAAAGGCTTCTTTGCAAATGAATGACGGATGCGTGGCGGGTTTTGGCAAATATTTATTTTGTATGTTTGAATGCCAAGGAATTGTCTGTTTGAAACACATGGCAACATTTATGATATTGAGGGTTTCGGATAATGGTTGAGCTTTTCTGTTGTTAATGATTACAGTCACGTTCTTTAAAATACTTTAATATATTACACCTCAAGCAGTTGCACACAACTTCATTACGACGATGCTTCTCGTCGTATCAAGTCATAGTACAAACTTCAAAGTGCAGGGATTGAATTTTTAACTCGGAAAACATTTTTAGAGAGGTCACAGATGTGGACTCATGTTACTTTTTTATTTTCAAAGACAGACAACAGCTATTTATTCTAATCGTTTTACCCAGGAAAGCATCGGTGAGCCTCAAGGCTATGTTTCAGGAGGGTCCTGCCAAGTTTTTTGCAGTCTAGGGCAATGTTGCAATGAGTAATCCCAATGGAGTACTTTTGCAGTTCATGTTTTATCACTGCGATGTTTGGCCAATACCAGTTATGTATGAAAACTAAACTTGTTTTCTTTCCTATTAGTAGGTAAGGCTATACAGCTCTTTTTTAGAAGCGACCTGGCCACAGATGATATGTATAGCTGCCAAATACTTTAAACGCATGTTGATTCTAAATGTGGAGGAAAAAACCAAAGGACCAAGAGAAAAATCCACGCGACCACGTTGAGAGAAACACGCAAACTCCAAATATACAGGCGTCAGGGTTGGGATGGAACCCACGACCTCCTGTATACCAGGCGAGGCAGTTAACATCTCCATACTATATGCATGTCTATTTTTAGCTTCGAGTATAAACCGAACAAACAACATAAAAATATCTTGCGGAACGAAGAGAGAACATGAATTCCCGCACACAAAACGCCTCAAACATCGAAAGCAGGCCCCTTTTGAGGAGAGGCGTAAGTGTTGCCGCTGTGCCACCTTGCCAGCGAGCTGTGTGTACGATATACAAAGTAAAATGAGGTTCATCTTCTATGTGACTTTACCGAAAGAACCAAGAATATGAATCCCTGCAGTCACGAAAGCTTTAAATCGAAAAATAAAATGAGGTTACAGCAGATTCCACATGAGGTTGAGTCTCTGTGATACATATTGAATGCTTACGTGCGAAAATGGCCTCATAGTTTGTTTTCTTCAATCATTATAAAGTCTGCTGCATTATTGTAAACGATAGTTCACGAAAGTATATATATATATATACAAATCTCAGAAAATTGTAGATCTTTGACCAGCAGTAGAGTGGGCGGCCCCCAATCAGAAGGTCACACGTTTAAAACCCAGTTTTTGGGGTTGGCTCAGCCCATCATCATCATCATCATCCCCCCTCAGGATCGTTAAAATAGGTACCACTTTGTGGGGAACTCAACAATGGTTGCTCTATGGGTATAATCGCACCTGCCACAGAACTGAGGCATTTCCACCACTGGCTGAGAACTGTTAACAAGGGGATTTGGGTACCGCCGCAAATGCTCACTTGAACAAGAAATCACGTTTTTTTTACTTTGATAGCTCTCCAATAAATACTGAGAAAGCAATACACAGGGCAGCAATACAACAGACATGAAACTTGTCCAGGCTAATTCAACAATTGCAACTCGCACTCCTAATGTCTGCCAAAGTCTACTTTGGATTTGTGATGAGCGCAGCTAAAAGGCGTCTGCTGGAGAGTTGGGGGAAAGAGAGAGGAGAGAGAGAGAGAGGGGCGGTGAGCGGCTAAAAAGGACAAAGTTAAGAGGGGGGTGAGCGGTGAGGGGCAGGAGAAGGAGGGGATGGGGGTAGAAAATAATGGACTCGGGTGAGAGGGGTCCTTAGCAAATTTTTGACTAGGACCTGACCTAGCCAGGCAAAGGGATCTTACCGGAGGAGGAGGAGGCGGGGGGGGGATGTTATGGATACAACTTTTAAAGGGAGGCAAGAGAGCAAAGTCCCCATGTCGGCTGCGTTTATAAAGTAAAAGTGCGGCACGTGCCCACGCATTCACAGCGAGCCGCGGCGGTCTGCAGACGTGAAAGTCGCCTTTTTGTTTTTAACAATGAAGGATAAGCAATCTGCTCTTACTATCGTGCAAATTCTAGACCGCAACAAATATGACATGGTAAGCCCGCTTCACGCGTTTGCTTCGTGCCCGTGTATCGTTGAAGTGTTATCATAATTGTTGGCATGTCCGTGTATGATTAAAACAGGAGGGTACGTGCTTAATTAACCTACAGTGGCTTCGTGTCATCCCGGTTCTGTCTTAATTGTGCAAAGTCATTTGGGAGCGTCTCTAATTACGTGGCATCGTCGCGTATTTTGTCTCGAGTGTATGCGTGCTGCACTGTATGTTTCACACACACACACTTTGAAACGATTGCTATTTTAGGCCTATTAATTAACAAACAAGGTTTCTGTCAGAGACGTGTGTGCATTGCCTTCACATATACTGAACTCCGCGTGGAAGAGTAGGCCAAGTGCCCTTTAGCGGCGCTTTCCAGGACTCCATCTGAGCCGAGGTCGTTCTACCAGCGGTGACTTGAACGAGCAGTTTCAGGGCTGCGCCTTTACACTGCACCCACGGGAGCGGTGGGCCAGTGGTGAGCGCAGTCACCGTCCTGCGGACGTGGCAAGCGAACATCAAAAGCACGCACAGTGAATTTCGATTTAAAGCTTTCGTGACTGCAGGGGTTCATCTTCTTGGTTCTTTCGGTAAAGTCACGTAGAAGGAAAATAATAAAATAATAAAAATAAAACATTATAAAATAAAATAATTCTCACGATCCACCTGGCACTTACACACAAGCTGATTCCATTGCTCCATCTCTTCTGCGCGGACGTGCCATCGGATGCTTTCCATGTTTTTGGCTGCCATTGAATGTTGTAGTTAACCTGCGGATGTCGTCTGACACCAGCTGCCTCCGTCTCTCTCATCTCTCAATGTCATCGCGAGCATGCATCTCACCACGCATCTTCGTGATCTGTAAATTGTAGTTTCTCACCTCAAGCGTGTCCAAATCGTATGTCGTAGCAGGTCAAAAGGGTTCTACTTTGGGGAGATTGTTACGTGACTTGTCGTCGCTGTTAAAGCACCAAACATTAAAGAACCTGTTATTGACGGCTGTGTGCCAACGTGAAGAGTGATGAGTCGGCAAAAAAAATGTCGGCAAGATGCTCTGTGGCCATGAACGAGAGACTTTGTAGGGGCATTTTTTTTTTTTTATGAAGGCTGCTGATTGAAACATAAAGTTTATGGGCTTTGTTGTTCTGAACCTCAGCCCATACTTGAATATAATGAGTAAACTGCCCACCAGCGCACGCGTGCAGCACGGCAATTCACATTTTAGAGCATCACCTTTAGAAGACGGAGTGAAAGTGAGCTTAAATAAAAGTACTAATCCTGTTTCATCGCTGTCCATAGCTTTGTGACATCTCCGCAAAAACGTATATTTAATTTTGTAGGTTTCACAATATTCCATACTCAATTAATACGCCATTACGCATTTTCCACCTTGTAGCTTGCTACAGTGTAACATATATCTGAGACACACTCCTACCTTCAGTATGAAGAACATCTATAAGTACATTTTCTAAAACTGTATGGAAATGTCATTTAAATAAGATATAACATGTAATATATGAGCATTTTTCCACTGATAAAAATATCTTTCGGCTTTGCGTTTATATAGCGTGTTCGCTGTAATTGTATCATTTTGCACTGCCTGTTTCCATGCTTTCTATGCTTTCTGTATTTCTTATTCTGGAGTAAAAATGGAATTTGCAAAAAGAAAGGACATTTGATAATGCATGTATTCAGTAAACATTTGATGACATCAAATATCCATCTCGTGCTGCCAACTACAACACACGATGAAGCGAGCTGGAATTTACATTTCATGAAAACTCAACACATTTATCAATAACACCACCACCCTAAAATGAAATACTACATAACAGGTGACGTTTCAGGCAATAGCCCTTCTGCATGAAACGTTGGTTATTCCCATATGCATTTTCTTTTGAGGCAAGTGGCATTACCGAATGTGTTTATCGTGTTTGTTATTTGTGCGCCGCTTGCCAATGCAGCGTCGCACGTGGTTTCTTTGTTGTTGTTGTTGCTGCTGCTGTTGTTGTTGTGCGTTTCTGGACACCAACAGAACCCAAATTGGTCAACGTTCCATCTTCGGATGCCACCCCCCCCGCCCTCCCCTCCGCAAAATGTCGATGACGCTTTCCTGCGTTTCATCCGTGCCCCTTCCTTTGAACAGCTGCCCATCTCAAACGGCCTCCTGGACGGCTATATGGGGCACAGTCTGATGGCATCATCCACCATGGACATGTCTGGCAGCTCCTTCGCCGGTGGCCTGCCCAGCCTGAAAAGAGAGCTCCCGGTCAGAGGTAATTGAACACAGAAACCCACTGCACGTAAACTCAATAAACATTTTGTTTTCATCCACAATGGAGGTTTTTTGTTGTTGTACGTTATATCGCGTAAATATAAATGTGTGGCGTTAAACCCGCCACCACCTCAATACAGCCAATTAGAAAGGGTTTGTCACGTAAACAAAACGTGCCAATTCGTTACTATTACGGCACACTCGAGTGTTGGAGAGTAAACCCCCATTCGCAATTTAAACATTTGTGGGTTTTGGGATTTTTTTTTACGTGACGAATCTTACTAATTGCCTGTGTCGCTTGGTGGCGGATTTAGCGACGCAATTATATCTGCATGATCTAACCCCAAAACCTCTTATAGATGCTATTGGTCGAATACGTGTTCATGTTTTTTACCAGTTCAGGCCACACTGAGCTCCACAGCTCTTTTTCAGAAGCGACTCAGCCATCATAAATGACAGCTCAACGCAATAGCTAACCAGGTGGAAAGGTTATAGCGGCCAAATTACTCTAAACGCACGTTGATCATGAATGTGGAGGGAAAAACCAGGGGATCCGGATAAAAAAATCCACATAGTCACGGGGAGAACATGCAAAATTGAAATATAGAGGTGTCCGGGTCGGGATCGAACTCAAGACCGTCTATAAGCCAGGTGAGGAAGTTAACATCTTGCCACGAGTCAGCCAACCAAGGCACTGTGCATAGAAGAACCAGCAAGTGCAAGCGAAGTTGTATCTGTGTGCGTGTGTGTGTGTCGTGGGGAGTGGTGGTGTAGCGATTTGGGCGCTGCACTGCGAACCCAGTGACGATTTTCTAAAACGGTCATGGGCCTCCCCTAGGTCGACTCAGCCTAAAAATGGGTGCCTGGTACGATGTGTAAACATCGCCACTGGGGAGACAAACGTGGCCGGGCGTAGTGCTGGCCACCTACCCACTCGTGTGTTGTGCCGGCCTTCATAGGTGCTCGCTAACAGCACTTACCCCAATAGTCTGTTAAGGCTATACAGGGGATTTTTTATTTAGTGTGTCAGTGTGTGTACACTCTATGCTAGGACCATACAACCCAAGTTCATTCCGCAGCCATGGTTAACATCAGTGACGAGTTAAATCAGCTTTTAAATGAGTACCACCTCGCACACCCTCAACCCATGATTTCATGAATAAAAACGCATTTGGGTTCACGATTAGAATCAATACATCTGTTACGATTCACAATTATGTTTGGATAAAGACACGTGATTCTTGGTTTGGCCAAACGTTCATTGGCTCTAGGGGCTTAAACTTGTACAGCTATTAAAAGAACGTGTATTCATCTTACAAATCTGAACGTTGCATCTTCATTTACATACCTTTATGATGAGGCAATTAGAACGGTTACCAATCAAACTTTGCTGCTCACAATTTAAATGTTGAACTTCGTGCCATGATTTCACGTGACAATTTTGACACGGGCAACACTAAATGTTTTTATTGCACAGTGTATAGTTTGAATTTGAATCACTGTTTAAGTGATTTGGTTTGAACCCCTGCCCCGTATCTGTATGAAGATTTTTAAAAACCTTTCGCTATATAACACGGACACGCGAAAAGGGCATGCACAGGCACAAACATCGTATATATATATTTTTTTAAACTATAAAAAAACACATAGCAGAGAACAGAACATGTTGCTCAAAGATAATACTCGCGAGCATATTTATAAAATGTTGACCACTTGCACGGGCCAAGATGTTTTTGGAAATGAAAGCTTAAAAAAAAAACTAGAGACAGCACAGAAAACATTGACAATGGAAGCATTTCACCATCTATAAATGCTGGTAATTATAAGAGTACATTTTTGGCTTGTTAATCAATTTCAAAGGGTTGTTTTTTTTATGTGGGAAAGGGAGGAGGGTGGTGCAAGGGGGTGGGGGGGGGGGAGCCTAAGGCACATCCCAAGAGAGGAAGAAAAAAAATCTCAATCAGCAAAGGCATGCACAGCGTGCGGAACCGGGGGTACTCGAACAACAAAGTGGATCCCCGATGGCACGGCGGGGTGGGTGGTACGCGTCGACACGGCCGGGTTTTGAGAGGTTCCGCAACAATCCGCAGGGCCCCGCGCGCTCTCTCTCTCTCTCTCTCGCCCCAGTGCACCGACGACGACGACACGAGAGAGTGCACGCACGAAAAAAACAAAAACACAGATCGACTTTTGTTTTGCGTTCCCCTAAAGAATAAAACTATTGAGGCACCATAACGGACGGAACGTTGAACGCGACGCGTGCACCACGCGCACATTTTGTGGGAGATTACATTGCTGCTCATCTTCTTGGTTCTTTCGGTAAAGTCATAATAAAATAATAAAAATAAAACATAATAAAATAATTCTCACGACGTTTCGGCCACGACGCAAGCAGCCGTCCTCGGGTGAAGACCAGGTCTGTCGGGGAGACAGCGTCTGCAGTCACGAAAGCTTTAAATCGATACATTGCTGCTGTTGTTGTTGTGATTTAACCTCCATTGACTGTGAGTGTTGGCGCATGCGCTGCACGTGAGTGAACGCATTCAAGTCAGCACGCTGTACTCCTCGTGTGCATGATTGTGCGCAAGTACGAATGCACACACGAGCCTATGCATGCGTGGACTCAAGCGTATGCTGAGCGGTGGCACGGTAGTTAGCGAAACTGCGCTACGAACCCGGCATCCCGAGTTCGTATGCTGAGCGGTGGCACGGTAGTTAGCGAAACTGCGCTACGAACCTGGCATCCCGAGTTCGGTTCCATGGCCACGGCAAACATCAGTGGCGGATAACTGCACTGTGCCTGAGCCATCCGTCAATGAGTGCCTGGTGCAGGGTTTAAACATCAGCACTGGGGAGACTGTCAGGCGCAGGACTTACTCGCTAGCTGCACTTGCCCCAACATCATGTGTGGGTTATATGGGCCACTTTTATCTTAGGTTAGTACGTGATTATGTGGCGAGAAAGCAGTTAATCATAATTCCATATTTGAGCACCATTCAGCCGTGTGGAATCCAGCCCAGTTGCATGGTGATCTGTTCGGCGAGCTGTGTATAGATGTGCATGCAACCGCTCGTTTTGCTGGATGTGTCTCTATTTGTGTGGAATGTCGCTCTTTGGCAAAGGGTTGCTTGCGTTCTCGGCGTGTTTATCTGACACTGGGCATAGTGACCACAGCGTGGTTTTTAAGGCACGTGATAATAAGGTGCACCGCCGTGTTAAGCATGCCATTGTGTGGGTTTTAAACGTAGGTATTCATTAATCTGTAAGGCTGCAAATAGCCGGCGCTCTGACAGACGCCGTGACTCGTTGAATAGAACACCTCGCGGTGAATATTTTCCTTGAGTCAGCCTTTCTCGAGGGGCTCTGTAAAGCTCCCTCGAGTGGAGACTCTTCTTACCAGCAGTGGTGTCAGAAAGACAATTCAAGGCTGCACCTTTACGGACTTTTACCCTTACGTGTTTTACACAACTGCCCACCAACTTCTCAGGCTCCCCGCTGCTAATGCGGGTGCGCCGAGGTGGCGAGATGTTAACTACCTCGCCTGGTATGCAGGAGGTCGTCGGTTGAATCCCGACCCTGACGCCTGGCTGTATATTTGGAGTTGGCATGTTCTCCCCGTGGTCCCGTGCATTTTTCTTCGGATCCTCCTGTGTTTCCCTTCACATTAAGAATCAACGTTTGTTTAGAGTATTTGGCTGCTTTACATTTCCACGTGATAAGCCACTTCCTCAAGCTATCGTTTGTGGCCAAGTTGCTTCTGAAAAAGAGCTACATGGCTCAGTGAGCCTTACCTGGTAAAATAACAAAAGGCTCGTTGAATTAATACTTGGGTTAGCCTGGCAGGAAATACAATTGTCTTTCACCCATGTGCAAAAATCCAAGACGTGTTCTTTACTAATGGACTTTTCTTCAATCTACAGAACCTGAGGTCAGAGCTTTGGCCAAGGAAAGGCAAAAGAAGGACAACCACAACCTTAGTGAGTCCTCACAGAGTTCCCGCACTGCGCGGTCACGTACACACAAAGTTTAGTTTTTTTAGGTGGCAGGGTCGCGCAGTGGCAAACACACTTCTTCCTCACAGCAAGAAGGACCTGGGTTTGAGTCCTGATTTGGGTAAATTTGTGCGTGTGGTTTGTATGTTCTCCCTCTGCCCTGCACGGGTTTAGTCGGAGTTATCTCATTTACTCCCAAAGTGAATAACGACAAAAAACCGATGTCATTTGAATGAAGTTTATTAAGCGAATGCAACTTGTGTTGGCCAAACATCCGAATGCAGAACCCCTCCTGAAAAAAAGTATTCGGACTTAGTGTGACATTCCTGGGTAAACGTAAATACATTTAAGTAGTAACAAAGCAAAGACTTTGCGGTCCTCTGACACTCACCCGTGCCCCTGTGTGACCAGTTGAACGACGGAGACGGTTCAACATTAACGACCGCATTAAAGAGCTCGGCACGCTTATTCCGAAATCCAACGATCCGTGAGTATTTACGTGTTCATTGCTTTTTACTGTCTACGTGTGCCTCTCCCCATAAAGCACGCGATGCTCACCGTAATCAAAACCGCTTATTGGACCCCGAGTTTTTTTGTGTTTGACTCTCGAGTGTTGGCAACAGCGAAAAGAATCTTCACTCTGACTGTTTATGGCACACCTCAATGTCCAATCCACCGGCTGTTAAACATTTTACACATTTATACGCAATGGCTCTTTCGCCAGGTACAGGAAATAAAGCGATGCAATAAATGTTACAGCTGCCGCCAGACAAAAGGCAATGATTTATCGTCCGCCCAGTTCAGCCAATGTGTCTCCTCTTGGATGTTGACTCACTAAACGCTTGAAGGAATGTCCAACTCAGAAGGGTAAATAAAGTAGACCAATTAACCCTGCTATTATTTAACAGTGTCCATCAAATGATGAACGGCTCACAGTCATAATACTTGAATTTTAAAAAAGCACTTATGCCGTTGTCAAAGCCATGTAATCAATAACTGGATACTTTAAAACACCGTGTGACAGAGATGGCAATTAATGCATTGCAAAACAGGCCAATAATGGAAGCAAGCATTGTCTGATAGTAAATTTTGATCCACATGAGATTAGTTTGGTATATTTCTGCACGAAATTGGGTCATGTAAAACGAAAATAATTGTTTAGCATATAAGGCATGCACAATAATAATTTCCAATCTTGTATCAATCAGCTGCTGGATGGAGCCATCCCATGGGGAACTGTCTGATCACGCTCCATCATCCTGGTCAGTGTGAGTTCTTGAACAGAGGGGCACAGAACAGGCTCCGATTTCACCCACCATTGGTGTTAACCCTGGCCAGGAACCAAACTCAGGTCACAGAGATCGCAGTGCAGTATGCTAGGAACTGCACTAATGCTCCGTGCCAAACACACAGCTTATATAAATGTGGTAGAATTGTACATACGTGCTTTTTTTTGTTATGCCAGGCTAGAGAGCACTTACATGTTAATGCATTGGTAGTTTAAATGGGCAGTGCACTACTCTTGATAAGTAAAGTGACAAACGTGTAAAGTCAACTTGGACTACTGAATAGAATGCAAAACAAGGATTAGATGTGTAAGGATAACACCAGATAACAATAACAAAAAGCAGACAAAATAATAAAGATCCGGTATTCTTACATTTCTCCCATCTCATCAGATTTCTAAGCCAAGCAGTTCTGAGCCGGGTTAGTCCTTTGTTAAATGATCTCTGGGGCTTGCCGGGTGCTGTAGGAGTGAGGGCTGCAAGGTGCCCATAAGGTGGCAGATTTGAGTGTCACCTTCTGACACCCACGAAAATTCCACCCACGTACAGCGTCCTCTTGAAAAAGGAAAAAGCCCCGATACTCAGCCAATGCTTTCTGGGTAAATAATTTGCGCAAGGTCAAGAAGGTGCGGAGAGCGTTTCATCTTAACGGAAGTAGAAGCACGCGTCCCCACTACACAGCGCGGCACGCCACTCTTAGAAAGAGTAAGCCATTGTGTGACCTTATCTGTCAAATTTCACCCGTACAGTAATAAGCAATACTCTATATGATCTTCTTGAAAGGGTAACCCACAATTTAGTGCTATATTGTGCTACCAACCGCTTTTATCTTGAACGTTGCGACCTTCTTTTTACAAGGGGGCCCTTTCGTTTTGCAACCGAGCGATGCCATAAAAAAAATTGCAAGCCCCCTTTTTAGTTTTCACGCATTTGACAATTGGCGATGACTTTGGTTTGCTCCATTATTTGCGAATGCCTTCACTTACGCAAGACTGCAGGAGGAACATTTACCAACGCACAGACGGCGAAGGCGTTAAATGCCTCGGAGTATTCACGACGCCTCCCATTGTTGTCCGCTAAGAGGGTTCTAATTTTATCTGCAGTATATTTTTTGTGCATGCGTTGCATTAATGTACAACTTGGCAGGCGTGTGCGATAGCATTCATGATGACACAGGCACACTTCAAATGGAGTGCAATTGGATATTCCACACTTTTTACAGGCACGCCAGACTCTCTGGAGCATTGTATTAAAGCACTCGCGAATATTAAAGACATGTAAACTGATTTGTTACTCCGTGATTGGATGTTCTAGTGACTTTGTGCAGCTAAACATCCATTCCCTTTTCATTTGTATGCGGCTACTTTCATTGCGGCATAAATGTGGTTAGTGGCAAATACTAAACCAGCGTAATGATTTGAACCTGTCCTACTCAAAACCGTTTATCTCCTGGGTCGTAAAGCGCTGCAAATGACCCAAAGTTCACAGGACAGATCCTAGTAAAATTTACATTCAACCAGTTTACGAGCCCACAAGCAGAAAATACTTATTATTTTTTATAAACCCATAAATTATAATTCGCTCTACAACAAAGGAGGGGGTTTTGCCTGAAGCATCGCCTAGTTTATGTTGGCCTTTTAGGGTGGCGTGATCGACAAATATATTGATTTTCTGTTGTCTGTGATTATTCTTCGCAACCATTGCATCATCATCATCATCACAAAAAATTACTTGAATTAAAATGAAGTATTATACATTTCAGCGAATCAGTCGACTTTTACGGAAATTTCCGCCACAACCCCTCACCCTCCTGCTGTTAATTTATCTGTTTAATCATCGTGAGATTTATCCTCATTGCACAACCTCTTTGAAACACAGTCCCCATGATTTTTTGACAGAGGTGTGGACTCGAGTCATGTGACTTGGACTCGAGTCAGACTCGAGTCATGAATTTGATGACTTCAGACTCGACTTGGACTTGCATAACAATGACTTTGTCCCACCTCTGAGGTGTGGACTCGAGTCATGTGACTTGGACTCGAGTCAGACTCGAGTCATGAATTTGATGACTTCAGACTCGACTTGGACTTGCATAACAATGACTTTGTCCCACCTCTGAGGTGTGGACTCGAGTCATGTGACTTGGACTCGAGTCAGACTCGAGTCATGAATTTGATGACTTCAGACTCGACTTGGACTTGCATAACAATGACTTTGTCCCACCTCTGTTTTTTGATGCAGTGTACAACAGTGGGTTCCCAGTGAAAAACAAATACTAGCAGCAAAAAGGATATGCCGTGTTTATAGCAACTGACGTTGAGACAAAATACAACATCAAAACCTGAATCAGTGGCAGAGCTAAGAAAAAGTAATTGTAAATCATTATGCATTACATAAGTCTTTTGACTACCAATGAACACCAACATTAAATCTTTTCCTTCTTCAGAGTTAACATTCATTGACACTAAACACCTTAAAAGCTCATTGTCATTCACATGTGCTATCCACCGCTGAGTGGCCATTATGTTAAAATGCGTGACATTCCCTGAGTGACTACCCCTTGGCTTCCACGTCCGTCTGGAACGTTTTTACTTCCGATATGAGAAAGCCACTGGAGATGTGCCCTTTTAAATAGCATAGATTGACAACTAATTTCTTCAAAACGTATTTTTGTGTTTAGTTTGTCGTCCTTCCCCCGCACCTCCGATTAGCACGGTTTGCTACGCACTGTGCAAAAGAAGTTCAACATACATACGACAACATCTAACAAGCTTACTTAACTGCCGCTCCGAACCATTTCCCACGCCGCGCACCGCAACTCTGTCCCGTATCCCGCACAATCGAAGCAAAATCGGCGAAACTGCCAGTGGCCGCTTTTAATCGACGCGTGATGTCATCGCCAGGGACATGCGGTGGAACAAGGGCACCATCCTGAAGGCGTCTGTGGACTACATCCGGAGACTTCAGAAGGAGCAGCAACGAGTCAAGGAGATGGAGAATCGTCAGAGGCGGCTGGAGCAGACCAACAGAGGCCTAATCATGCGCATGCAGGCAAGTCTCCATCACGAGTGTCTTTTTTTAAATCCTTTATATTAAGTTCACTTGCCTGCTTGCTTGCACGCTTACGACCGTGCAAATCTTTCGGTCGTTTTTTTAACCCACTTCCCGTGATCCAATCGAGCTGACATTTTGCACACAGACTCGTTGTGCGTGACAATTTATTTTCGTGAAAAATTTTTTCCAAAATTTTACACTTTTTAGGAATTTTTTTTTTCTATTTTATTACCCATTGCTTAATGGTGGCAGGCAATCATCTGACCAATAGGTGGCAGCCATCTCAAGCCAGAGGACGAGAGGACTCTAGCCGCCACGCATATAAAGGATTTATAGTGAAAAACTTTGTTTTTACGGGTTCATTTTTAACGACCGTCTCCAGATGACGTGGGAGCTTCCTTTTAACGTTTGAGAAGATGGGTGGCACTTCACTGTGGCGAGGGAGTGGAGCATCTTCGGCGGCATTGCTCAAAGGCGAAGGGAACGAAATGACAGAATTTGGGCGACGATTCAATTCGTGGACCGGACGGAGGATAGGAAGGTAGTCAACAGGCTTACTTTAACAAGTGCAACTAATTTCGATTTAAAGTTTTCGTGACTGCAGGGATTCATCTTCTTGGTTCTTTCCGTAAGTCACGTAGAAGGGAAAATAATAAATAATAATAATAAAACATACTAAAATAATTCTCACGATGTTTCGGCCACAACGCAAGCAGCCGTCCTCAGGTGAAGAACAGGTCTGTCGGAAAGACAGCTGTCTGAATGAATGCTTGCGTTGTGGCCGAAACGTCGTGAGAATTATTTTATTATGTTTTATTTTTTTTATTTTATTATTTCCCTTCTACGTGACTTTACCGAAAGAACCAAGAAGAAGTGCAACTAACATACGCTGTTACGAACGTAACGATTGTTTGACTGTAATCATATTATAGTGCGGTGACAAAACACACAAATATACAACATGTTTGCCTGAGATGGGACTGGGGAGGACAGCCTGCGGGTAGGGGGGGGGGGTTTAAACACAAAAAGATTGAGAAGCAATGTTTGAGTCCAGTGTTTCTTGACCTGGGGTGCACGCTGCACCCCCTGGGAGTGCGAGATGCTCTTTCTCGGGGTGCGAGACGCGTCCAGATTTTGGTTAGAATGCGAATCGTCGAAAACACAAATTTAGCACGGCGCACGTAAGTACAACTAATACTTTGTTTCATCAAACCCCATTGTGTTTAGTAACATTGTAAAATTTTGCAACTATTGAGAACCATAGGGGTGCCAAAGGCTGCGGTTAAAGGTTAAGAGCCACTGCTTGGGACTGTTCATCTCAAAACGTCGCCTGTGCAGCCGAGGTTCTGCGTCACCAGGGGGCGTCACGTGCCACAAATGGTAGCTTGAATCGGGACCACAGAGGCTGGGTAACCTATCAATGTCGGCTTCATCTTCTTGGTTCTTTCGGTAAAGTCAGAATTATTGTATTATGTTTTATTTTTATTATTTTATTACTTCCCTTCTACGTGACTTTACCGAAAGAACCAAGAAGATGAATCCCTGCAGTCACGAAAGCTTTAAATCGAAAAAAATCAATGTCGGCTTCTTTTCCGATGAAACCCCAATTAACGGTTTGCTGTACTACTCGCTACGCATTAATGCGCGACGATTAATCGCTTAACGAGAAGGTTCTGGCTTCCCCGCACACATCTTAAAGTCACTGAGACACACTGGGCATCGCCTAACCCCTATCCATCACACACATCCCGTGGAGTCGGTTGTAATTTCAACGGCACATCACCTGCACCATAGGTGCCTTATGGAAGGGCACTCGCTACATTGTTCCATAAAAAAGAGGATTCAACGTGGGAGATTAATGCAAATGAGTGCATTGGGCTTCCACTCAAACAAAGCGGATCATTTCTGGGATTTACATTTAAGGAAAGAAAAGTGCTGTAATCGCCACTGCTGGTAACATTTCTTCCTGCTTTGATACTGCCGCGTACAATGAAAGTCCAAGAAAATGCATCAATGTCCTTGGTGATAATTATAACATTGCGTCATCGTCATGATCAGCCATGAGCGATCCACTGCTAAATGAAGGTCTTTCCAAGCCATTGCCAACCTCTAGCGATTCTCTGCTGCAACAAATATATGACATCATATCCCGCGTTCGCATACCCGCACTGACAGAGTGGTAAAGTATGGCCATCCAATATTCTCGAATGACGATTAAGTTAACGGATTATTTTTAAAACAACCCACTTACATGACACTCATTGTTGTGCTCGACAATGCTAAAACATGAAAAAGCAAACGCTGTGTCCTCTCACATTTCAGTAAAGATATATTGTAGTCCCATCAGCCCGTTGACTCTCCCGACCGATATCATCAAGCAAACTCTTGCGACGTGCGTCTCAGTCGCGCAGGCAAACGCTCCTCGACACCGAGACACACAACAACTTCATCCTCTTTGTTTTTTTGTCGGTGAAAAAAAGTCACGTAGGTGAAAAAATAAAAAATGAAAACAACTAAATTAAATCAGTCGTTTTAATTTTTTTTCACCTACGTGACTTTACCGAAAAAAACAAAGAGCATGGATCCTTGCAGTCACGAAAACTTCAAATCTAGAACAACTTCATCATCCACGAAAAACCGCCCCACGTGTCGGCTGCAGGAGCTGGAGATGCAGGCGCGAGCTCACGGCCTTCCCAGCAGCTCCCCGACGGGCCTGACCAACGGTGACCTCACCGGGCAGCAGCTTATCAAGGCAGAGCCCGAGATGGGGGGGCTCCAACGGCTCGACTTTGCCCTGCAACACGCCGATACCGCCGTGTCGGGCATACCGGACCTCGGAGGGGGCATCACGATCCTTGACCTCAACGAGGGGTCCTTCGGCTACACGGATCCCCTGAGTCACCATCATCACCACCAGCAGCAGCAGCATCAGCAGCAGCAGCAGCATCAGCAGCATCAGCAGCAGCAGCACCAGCATCATCAGCATCGGCTGCCAACCGAGCTGCTCACGCACTTAGGCGATCCGGTTGACCAGTTTGCCGAGTGCTACCCGTTCACAAATGGGCTGCGGCTCAGGGACTTTCTTCTGGACGACGGCCTGTCACCCGTGGGGGGCTCGGACCCCCTCCTCTCGTCCGTCTCTCCCACTGCCTCCAAGACGAGCAGCTTCAGCGACGACGACGATGATGACGACGACGACGCCGACGGGATTTGACGTCGCCGCGCTGAATTAGCTTTTGACGGCCTGCCACGATCTGTTTTTTGTTGTTGTTTGTTGTTGGTGGTGGTGTATCTTTTAAAAAATGTATATACAAATGTACATTGTATATGTATATCTTCAAAGAAGATCGAAGCTCAAGTGAATTATTGAAATGGTCAAAGAGAATATCTGCCTTTGTTTTGAATTTAGTTTAAATTGACTGTTATACCTAATACTTTTTTTTATACGAGCCTCTGCCATCTGTGTTTCACTTATGATAAAACTTGCAGCTCTACGGGTGAGGCAAGACTGCCGATTCAGTGTGGGCATGGTTGTGTTGAATATAAAAAAAACAAGTGCTGGGTTCATGGCAGATTATTCCGTTGGAAATGCAAATCCACTTTTGTCAAGAGCGAAATGGCATGGGCAGCAACCCTTACTCATTGAGCCGTTCCAAAAATAATCATAGGTGAAACATAATAATTTTTTTAATTTAATGTAGACCTTTTTGGTAAAAATGTTTCTAGAATAATAATTTTTATAAATGCAAAAAAAACAACAAAAATATTGAAATGCCGTAGTAACACTGCCCAATTTTTTTTTCTAAAATGTTTGAAAAACTATTTTACTTCAGGAAGAGTGGGTGGTAATGAAGGTAGATTAATGTGCATTTCATATATATATATGAAACACAATTTTACAATGAAATATTTTTCTAGGATCTAACACTGGTTATAACTTTAGAAATGTTAAAGATACTACACTACAATGCAGATTTGTTCTGAAACTTTTATGAACCAACGATTTGACAAATAATTTGACAAATGTTTCTATTGATGTGGGAAATGTAACGGTATTTTCGTATCAACAGCCCTAACCGAAATTGAAATGGCATGTTTAGGACTTTTTAAATGTTCCAGTTGATTGCATACATGGAAGTATTTATAATTCTAAGATGAATGGATAATCATTAAAAATGTCGGAATTGTTTTTTTTCACATTTCACTTTTGTATGTTTTTGTAAATTTCAAATGAGAAATGTTCACATTCATTAAATTCAATGTTTCACAAAATTATGCCTTACCGAGTGCTGTGCATTTTTGTACACTTTTTTTCGTCGCTCAGAAATGACCATATTATTTAGCATTCGTTTAATTGGCACATCATAAATGCACATGTGCAAAAACAGCCAAAAAAAATACGCTTACATTCACCTCTCTCGGTTAATCCACGGCTGGATGAAGGCCATCCTGGTATATGCCATGGCAGATATGGGGTTTGATTGACCATACTTCACCACGCCGTTCAGTGGGGGTTATTGAAGGTTGTTGCCCAGGAACAGTTCAACTATCACTCTCCACTGATATTAGCCATGGCATGGAATCGAATTTTTGTTGCCGGCACTTACCACGATGGTTCTATACTCTTAGTTCTTTCGGTAAAGTCACGTAGGTAAAAAATGAAATTAAAATTAATAAAAATAAAACAATAACCACCTGCATCACCACAACATCGCCCTCCTGTGTGTAAAATGCAATTGCACGAAAGTTTATGCTGCATTTTAAAACTTCCTTTTCAAATTCAAGATGTATCTGCTTCTGCCATCTACATGACAAAGGATCAGTCCCAACAAGCAGCAGCCGTACTAACCATCTCACAACAACTCCTCTCCCGCGGCCCATCCTGCCCCCCCCCGCCCCCACTAACCAGTATATATAATGTCGGGTCTCTTGGGACTTCTCTTTACTTGATACAGCAATGGTGCTGCGACGGTTCCATCTGAAGACGGAAGCTTGCAGAGGTGTGGACTCGAGTCATGTGACTTGGACTCGAGTCAGACTCGAGTCATGAATTTGATGACTTCAGACTCGACTTGGACTTGCATAACAATGACTTTGTCCCACCTCTGAGGTGTGGACTCGAGTCATGTGACTTGGACTCGAGTCAGACTCGAGTCATGAATTTGATGACTTCAGACTCGACTTGGACTTGCATAACAATGACTTTGTCCCACCTCTGGAAGCTTGTGTTGCCTCCGAAACGTCGTAATTTATTATTTTATTTTTATATTTTTTATTATTATTATTTATTATTTATTTGTATTATTTATTATTTACCTACTTTCCTTTTAAAATTCACCTAAAAGTTGAATGCTCGGCAAAGCTGTCGTTGAGATAGTTTTACTCTTAGTGAAAGTAACATCGTATTAAGACTTCGCAGAATGGACTATTCAAGCTCAACCGATTCAGCACAAAACTACACTCGGTTTAAAATGAAGGTGTTTTTTGGGTTAGATCGCGTAAATATATAAATGTGTCGTTAAAACCGCCACCACCCGACACAGACAACTAGTAAGGGTTGTCACGTAAACAGAACGTGGCCAATTCGTCACTAGTACAGCACTAGTGTATAGTAGTGTATAGTGTAGTGTATAGTGTAGTGTATAGTGTAGTGTATAGTAGTGTATAGTGTAGTGTATAGTGTAGTGTATAGTGTAGTGTATAGTAGTGTAGTGTATAGTAGTAGTGTATAGTAGTGTAGTGTATAGTGTAGTGTATAGTGTAGTGTATAGTAGTGTATAGTGTAGTGTATAGTAGTGTATAGTGTAGTGTATAGTGTAGTGTATAGTGTAGTGTATAGTAGTGTATAGTGTAGTGTATAGTAGTGTATAGTGTAGTGTATAGTGTAGTATACTAGTACAGCACATCGGTTGTGTGTTGGACAGCCAAGCCACAACATTTACAATCTGGGTACAATCTGAGGACGACGTTTCGCCAGTAATTACAACTAGCTTCATCAGGCGACAGACATATTTGTGGAGAAGTCTAACTGTTTTGTTGCTTATATAGAGGCGTAGATGTGGTGGTATCCCAAGACTAGCTGAACACTGTCTAAAGAACACCTACTTCTTGTGGCAAGGTGACTTCTATAAACAAAAGGAAGGAGCAGCAATGCGCTCTCCTTTGTCTCCTGTGATAGCGAATTTGTACATGGAAGATTTTTAAACAAAAGCAACAGCTTCAAGCACACTAAAACCCTCTGCTTGGTTTAGATATGTGGATGGAAAATCGGTGGTCTGGCCACACGGCAAAGATACACTGAACGCATTTCTAAATCATCTCAACTCGCAAAACCCATCCATCCAGTTCACCATGGAAGTGGAAGCTGACAGAACTCTACCATTTCTGGATATTTTGCTCGGACGGGGTCGAAATGGTAAAATAACACAGAGTGTTTACCGAAAGAAAACGCATACTAACGCCTATCTGAATGCAGTCACACCATCACCCCACAGAAATCTGCTCTTATCAAGACGCTCATTTACCGAGCTAAGAAAGTGTCAGATGGTGACAGTCTGATAAGTGAAATTCAACATGTTAAAGAAGCGCTGCAAATGAACGGTTACAATGATGCACAAATCAACAGGCCATTCAATGCCAAAACCAAATCATATAACACGAGCATTGAAACTGATAAACTAACCAGATGTTTGGAAAAGCAAAACATCCGAGTCAGATTTGTCACAGTACATAAAATACGGAAATTAATATCTGGTACAAAAGATGTATTACCTATGCGATCAACAGAAGGTGTACAGGATTAATTGCACGTGTGGAAAACGTCATGTTGGGCAAACAGGACGAATGATCAGCACGAGACTAAAAGAATATCAGAGAAATATTAAATGCTCCCAAATGCAACTGTCAACAGTAGCAGAACACGCGTGCCAACAAGGACACTCAATTGATTTTTATCATGTTGAAGTTCTATGCAAAACTAGCTACGACTAGCCCAGACTAATTAGAGAATATATCGAAATTGAAAGAATTTAAATAAAATGTAACCGTTCGGATTACTACCGCCTTAGTGCTGCGTGCAAGCGAATCATCAAATAATGCATTATTTAAATATATTCCTATAAAGGGCAGCATACTTCATTAGGGATTACCGTTGGTAGGGCTATTTATTTATTTAATACACACAATAGACAGGAAGGACAAGATCAAAGGGCATGTTCTGTTTACGTGACAACCCTTACAAGTTGGCTATGTCGGGTGGTGTTGGATCGTAACGACACATTCATATATTTACTCGATCTAACCCAAAAAAACTCTTTTCCAACTATGCAGGCGTCCGGTTCGGGACAGAACCGACGATCTCCTGTATACCTGGTGAGGTAGTTAACATCTCGCCACCGTGGCGCGCCTACACACAAATGATTCCCCTCTCCCACCCTCCCACCAATACACATGACGAAGCGTTCCAAAAACCTTGTCAACCCTTAGACTCGTTCTCTCAATAGACATTCTAAATGTGAAGGGACAAACCGGAGGGTCCACGTGACCACGGGGAGAACATGCAAACTCCAAATATACAGGCGTCTGGATCGAGCCATCGAACTCACGACCTCCGGTATACCGGACGAGTTAGTTTCAACAACTAGCCACCGTGTCGCCCCAACTGATTGGGTGGTTGCTTCAACTGCCAATTGGGACAACATCCACTAGGTGGCAGACGTACCCTCGAAAACCCTGCACGAAACGCGAATCCGCTGTCTTCCTTGAACACTCGTGGTGATAACGGTGACTCAAGATGCACCAGTTGGCTTTGACACTTCAATTCCATTGCGCTCACTGGCGTACATGTCCTTAATGTCACGAGTGAGAAATAAACGACAAAACGCCTAAACATTTTCCTGAAGTACACCATGCAAACTGACTCGTGTTTTTTTTTTGTACCGCCTTCAACGAAGCAAATACGTATAAAAAGAATACTCGCGATAATTACGTTTTCCATGGTAAAGAATCAACCTCTTTCACCTCTTTTCACCGACTCAATCGATCGGTCGTGGAATTGCCGCAAGGGATGCGCGCGCCCAATTTATATTCCATTTAGCCTGATGAGAAACCAATAATTGGCCACCCATTACTTAAGTAGTGCTATGTGTAAAGTGCAATAAAATACTGTTGGGGTGTTATGCCTTAATGATGAATGGGAGACTGGCTAATGGACCTAAAGTGTACATTGCCCAGGTTGTCCAGAAAAAAAGGCTTAATATTACTCGACGAGTCGCACTGCTTTTAATTAACATCACCACCTCCCTCCACCCCTTCCTCCAACCCTTTATATATTTGGCACGCACGAGAACACTGCATTACTCTGCAGACATCCTTTTAAAATCCTTTATATTAAGTTCACTTGCTTGCTTGCGTGCTTGCTTGCTTGCTTACGACCGTGTAAATCTTTCGGTCGTTTTTTAACCCACTTCCCATGATCCAATCGAGTTGACATTTTCCACACAGACTCGTTGTGCGTGACAATTAATGTTCGTGAAAATGTTTTTCCAAAATTTTACACTTTATAGGACAAAAATATTATATTTAATTACCAATTGTTTAATACTGCCGACAATCATCTGACCCATAGGTGGCAGCCATCTCAAGCCAGAGGACGAGAGGACTTAAGCCGCCACGCATATAAAGGATTTAGAGTGAAAAACTTTGTTTTTACGGGTTTACTTATTAATGCATTGTGCCACCATTATCGTGAGCCATCGTCTATGCACCGCGGAAGGCCACTCCGAGCCATGACCACCTCTTGGCATCCTGCGACTGCGATGATGATGATGATAATGTAACACACCGAGGACCTGCACTGGAGATAATTTCATGGTTCCATCTCCTCTGTGGTTATCTTCTCGGGCACATTCTATGCTGTGGCTGCCCCTCAGTTGTTAGTATTATTATTCTTCTTGGATCTTTCGGTAAAGTCACGTAGAAGGGAAATAATAAAATAATAAAAATTTAACATAATAAAATGCAATTCTCACGACGTTTCGGCCACAACGCAAGCAGCTGTCCTCAGGTGGAGAACAGGTCTGTCGGAAAGACAGCCTCTGAAAGAGCAAAGACAGCGTCTGAATGAGCATTCAGACGCTGTCTTTCCGACAGACCTGTTCTTCACCTGAGGACAGCTGCTTGCGTTGTGGCCGAAACGTCGTGAGAATTGTATTTTATTATGTTAAAATTTTTTTATTTTATTATTTCCCTTCTACGTGACTTTACCGAAAGAACCAAG